TTGGAGTTTCATCCAACAAAATGCAGTTAGCTGTGTGGTTGGAGGCTTCAGTGTGGAACCGTAACAACTTTTTATTTTAACGGTTTTACAGGAAGGAAATCAAAGAAAGTTGAAGGAAGTGAAAAACTGGCCAAGGTCGGGTTTCAGTAAAACCTCTTCAGATATAGTTTCCTCTCCAGCCTTTTCCTGCAGCTCACGCCGACATGTGAGCACAACGGGACAAACATTCCCTGACAGCGTCTTCCATCGTTGGCCGCCTCAGACCAGTAAAATGTGTCTGAGGAGCCGTTTCCTGTTCATCACAAACGGTGGCGTGCATCAGAACCAGCACGACAGAGTCTGTTGGTCACACGTGGTCCAGAGGGACGGTCTGCTCCTGTCTGGACCGCACTGAGGGTTTCTAGTAGACGTGACTGAACTCATCAAGAGGAGCCATGAAGGTCTTTCAACCCGACCCGGCTGTACTCTGCTCGTGAAGAACAGTTTAAACATTTATTGAACTAAGGAAACAGGTCTGAGACTCACGTGTGGACTTTAGACCCCCCATGAATGCTGTGAGACATTCTGAAGACTCTCTTGTGACACTGTTCACCACTGAGTCTCCAGCACCCACAGCCCAGTGGAATGCCTTAACAGCGCACAGGAAATCACCTTTTCTGTGCTACACTGGGACTTTCTGTCAAACTGGGGTTTTTTTTTTCAAAGAATGAAGAATGGCGGCTCTACGAGAGATCAGCTGTTGTGTTGACTAAACCCTGCTTTGTATTCATACCATACCAGCTTTATTTATAGAGCATTTTAAACACCCATAGGACCAAAGTGCTGTACACATAATAAAACAATTATACAATCTCTTTAAACTTTAAGAACTTCGCAGCCATGCAGGCTTTTATGTCCTCCAGAGAGTTAGAGCCCTTTTTCTTTAGGGGGACATATATCTGTGTATCATCAGCGTAACAATGAAGAGAGATCCCATATTTTCTAAAAATGGAGCCAAGAGGGAGCAGGTACAGTGTGAAAAGGAGGGAGCCTAAAACTGAGCCCTGCGGGACTCCACCCAAAAGAAGAGCAGAGGATATTCATGATAAAAATAACTTTTTTTCCAGCTGCCCCCTCTGCAGGGGTCACATGAAGTAAAATTACATGAAAGATCGGACAAATGTTGTGTGCTTGAGCTCGAACTCAGGATTATGAGACAGCAGCACTGACCACTGAGCCACCACAGCTCCCCAACGAAAACAAGTTTAAGGATTGCAGCTGAGTGAAAAAGCAGCTAAAGTTTAAATAAAAACTTTGAAAGGTCTCCAGGGGTCTGAGTAAAGACCATTTTTACAACTGACTTCAAGTCTGGACGCTAAATGTTTACTGGGTAACTTTAAGACGCGTGCAGCTTCAAACGTCTCTCAGGAACGTTTCAAAAAGAAAGCCGCACGTTAGAGTCCTTACTGCTAACGCAGTGAAGGATGGCAGGAGGACTTCCCGCCCTTCACTTCTGTGTTGTTTCACTCTAATCTCAATCTGCTCGTTCAGCCTGACTTCTGCTCCGCTTTCGTTTTGATCTGCAGCACTTCGGCTCTTGGTTCTCGTCGTCGTGGCAACGCTTCATGGAAGTTCTGTTTATTTGTTTACAGATTCACACACGGTGCAGCTGCTGAGGCGCAGCCAGAAAAACGATTTGAAATGCATTTTTAAAATATTTCACAACACGAAAGCTGATCCAGCTGAATAATGCTGAGTCAGCAGTCGCACTGTTGCCTTCTAACGGATTTTTTCTTACTTTTCTGCAAACATTATGCTGTTTTAGCCACTCAGGAACCAAAACTTAGCTCATTTAGGAAATGGATGTTGAGACTTTGGATTTTTGTAACTTTCAGAGTTTTAAAATATTTAACTTTACAAATATTCCTCCCACAGAAACACTTTGAGATCTCTTCACATCCTTCAAGAACATCTGAAATCTGCTTCGGCTGCTGGCTGTGTTTTGACCTCTTCAGCTACTTTTGGATTTCAGCTAGCCTCTTGCTACTTTTTGCTGTTTGCTAGTGTTTTGTTCTTTTGAGCTTCAAGCAAGTGTTCTCCTTCTTTTAGCTTTTAGCTATTGGTTTGTTACTTTTAGGTATCATTTTATTACTTTTAGCTAGTGTTTAGCTATTTTTAGCTACTGGAAAGAGTTATCCTTTGTTTAGCTTTTAGCTATATGTTACTTTTAGGTGTTTTATTATTTTTAGCTAGTGTTTAGGCCTTTTTAGCTGCTAGCAAAGGTTATCCTAGCTTTTAGCTATTGGTTTGTTACTTTTAGGTACCATTTGATTACTTTTAGCTAGTGTTTTGCTCTTTTTAGCTTCTATCACGCGTTTTACTTTTAGTGTGCTGTTTGTTATGTTTTAGTAGCATTTCATTACTTTTAGCTTTTAGTTAGTGTTTTGCTCTTCCAAGTTATCACGCTGTGTTTTGCTTCTTTAGCTTTTAGCTCGTGTTTAGATTCACTTTCTCCTTCAGCAGTCATTCAGCGCTCAGCTTTGAGTTTCCCTCTTGTGTCCTTTTTCAACATTCCTCAGATTGTTTTGTTTTTTATTTGCAGGTAAACAAAGTTTGAGCTTAGTTTCCTGAGAACTAGTTTTTGTTTGTTTGTTTGTTTGTTTAACTGCAGCCTTGCCAACAGAGTTGCTCTTATCTCTCCAGCTCTGCCCTTTAAACCGACATATCTCACGTCGTGTCAAATGTTTCCACTTTACGAGGCCAGCTGTGAGCGGGGAACACCGCCTGGCTGATCATTAAGCTGCTCGACTTTTACAGCTGGATGTTTGGACCCACGGCAGAAAATAACCTGCAGGAAGCTGCGGCTCGTGTATCGAAGGTAAAACACGTAAACAAACATCACAGCTGAGGTTTCCGTGTGGGAGCTCAGGGCTGAACGCCGGAGGGAACGGTTTCTGAGAAATTCTGTAAAAGTGAAAGTTCATGTTTTTAATCAGCAGCAGTTTCTACGTGACAACACTCGGAGGCCTTTAGCTGGAACTCATGTAATTAGGAAGGAAATGCAGCGAAGCAGTGATGAAACACAGGAAGCAGGAAGTGTTTGAAATTATTATTGGACTGTCCTCCACATAAAATGTGACTCGAGTGAGTCAGGACAAGAGAAGCATCGAACAAAGTTGGATGCTAAATATTTTGCCATAATTGTTGCAAAGCATTGAGAAAAATACTTAATCTCTATTTATTTATGTATTTTTGTGTCTTGTTTATTTATCTGTTTATTGTCTTATTCCACAGTCCAGCCAGGAGCAGCTGGTTTCTCATTTTCTGGGTCAGAAGATGAAAAGTTTGGGAACTTCTGCTTGAAGGCACCAGAGGAAGAAACGAGCAGTTTGTGAAAATGAACGTTTTCCTCAGAAACTCTGATCCAGACCCGGAGCCGCTCTGAACGTCCTGACCCGTCGAGTCCGCCTGCCGGGAAGACGACAGCTCAGCTGCTGAGTCCTCACGAAAATGACATGATCTGTAAATTAATCATTTTTAAAACTAAAACTTTAAACTCTTTGAACACACATTTCTTCTGTTCTCAGCATTAAGTGCAACTTTAGTTGAAAAATTTATAAAAGTCTGTGTTTTTAAGGTCGAAACAGACCTCGACCTCCTCGTCACTCTCAGTGGACTACACAGGATAATCTGATTGGATTAGGACTCAGGAGAGTCCAGACAAGTCCCATTTTACCCCCACACCTCAGATTACAAACACAAACAGATAAACAAACACAAACAGATCAACAAACACAAACAGATAAACAGCCTACCTTTCCGATGATCCTTTAAATCCTTCCAACAGATGGAAAATTTCCAGCAAAGGAAACAGCCTGTTCTGATCCATCTGTCCCGGCTGTAGTTTTATCCCCTGATGGGGGGTGTGGGGGGGTGGAAGCAACAATTAATCCCCGTCAGGACTCACTCAGCCTGAAGTGACTGATTCACTCGCTCATGTGGAATGTGAGGGATGGAAATCCATGTCCGAGTCAGAAAACAGGGAGAGGACACGGAATACAGACGACCTGAAGGAGTTTATTTTTATTTAATCAGTTTGCTTCATTAATAAATTATTCAGGAGAAGAAAAAACAGGAAAACCTGGACAAAAGAGGTAAAAAATGATCAAACTGTTGTAAGAAAAAATGGGTTTAAAGACGTATAAAGACGGGGGACATACTGGTTTATCATATTTTATCATATTTTTGTCATTTTGAATTTTGAACGAACGTCTCATCAAACTTTTAGCACCGCCGAATAACATCAAACAGCTCAGTTTCGTTCAAAAGACTGAGTTAAAGCCATTTTTGTGTTCTCCAAGCTATAGCTGTGGCGGCCATTTTTAATCAGTTTAACCCAAATAACTAACCAGACATGGAGGAAGCTCCAAGGATGACTAATTACGTCACCATGGCAACGCCAAGATGCCCATAGACACGTCACGTGTCTGAGCTGCTTGTGTTTGTTTTGCGTAGTTTGGCCGCCTTAAAGTTCAGCGGAGAGTAAAAGTAAAGTTAGAAAAGGTGCTGCTGTAGGAACCGACAGGAACCCGTGGTTTTCTGTGTGTTTCTATGGCAGGCACCTGAGAAAAATATGACGAAAAACATCAATAAATTAATTTAAAAACTGTAAATTTAGGGCGAAAAGATGAGAAAATCTGCTGAAAATTATGAGATAATTTGGAGGTAAAATGAGTCAAAAGAGAAGGAGAGAATTAAGAGGAAGTGACGGAGGAGGAGGAGGAGGAGGAGGAGGAGGAGGAGGAGGCAACACTGTCTTGTTATGGCAGATGAACTCAGGGTTGCTGGGTTGCATCATCACACAGGCACTGCCCTATTAATAGAATGATGTCATCCTTCTGCTCCCCCCTCCCTCCCTCCCTCCCATTCTCCTCTCGCGCGAGGAAGCTCCTTCTGCTACGTCACAGACCCCGCCCCTTTGGAGTCCCATAAAAAAGCGGTGACGCAACGAGCGAGGACACAACCGAAGCTGCTCGGACCAGCTGGAGTCTGAGAACCGAACCTTCCTGTGCTCGTGCTCAGACCCGGAGCTCCTACAGGTAGGGGGGTCAGATTCTGGGGAGGGGGGTCATTTCTGCCAGGTCGCGTGCGTCGACCTGCTGGACTGAATGAAAAAGATTTTAGATGTGAACGTTTGGTTGGAAGCTGTCCTGCTGGGGGGTCAGCCCAACTTTATTACATTTAACTACTAGAGTTTGTTCCCTGTCATAATATTCATTAAATATAAAATGTAAACCTTTATACTTTTTAAACTATTTAATTATCTAACGCGTCTTCACGTGTAAAAACTGAAACTTCTCTAAAATGAAAACAGAAGAGTTTATAACTTTGTCCAAGTTTATTGATTTTACTTTTGCTTTATGAATAAGTCACATTTTATTTTAAAAAGTACATTAAACTAAAAAAACAGTCTGAATTTTTTTTTTTTTTTCAGTTTCTGTTAACCTTTTTCAAGAGCTCAAACTTTATTGGTCCCACAGGACATTTAATGTCCTTATTAACATTTAATATCTAAAGTTTAGTGGCACAGCGCATGTGAATATAATGAGTCTAAAAGTTAATTTAAAATAAAACCAGTTATTTTGTGTTGGAGATGATGTCCTGCAGTTTAATTGAAATTAAACTCAGTTGTCTATAAAAGTGACTGAATAGAAAGAGAAACATCATTTTTTTATTCCAGGGCTCTGATTTGAACCTTTAGCTGCTTCTCGCAGATCGTGGAAAATGATTTCACCGTGAAATGACTTTCATCATGTTTGCTTTAGCAACACGATAATAATCTGAAGCCGACGGTCATCGTCTTCTTCAGGCTCGTCTGTTTTCACAACAAACCGGCTCCTTCAGCGTGATTTTACTTTTTGTTCTGAACGAGACGCACTCGCGTGACTTCAGCTCGTTCCGTGTTTGTCTCTGGCAGCAGGACCTGGTCCTCCTTCTTACGTAACGTGACATTTAAACCAACGTTCTTCAGGTTTTGTTTGTTCACGTCTGAAGTCATCGTGTCCGCTCTGCAGAACATCTTCACACATCTTTGTGATTTAACTAGTATTTGTGTTGAATTCTTCTGTTGTCCTACATTTATTGTATAAAAGTGTAATGTCGTGTACTATTTGTCCCAATAATCGTTTTGGTTCTGCAGAATGATGCTGCAGCACCCAGGCCCGTCTCTGGCCGACATCAGCTGCTCGGCTCTGGTGCCGTGCCTCTCCCCGCCCGGATCGCTCACCCTGGACGACTTCACCAACTTCACGCCCGTCGTGAAGGAGGAGCTGCGGCTGGCCATCCAAAGCAAGCGCCTGTCCAACGGGCTCAGCGCCGACGTCAGCTCCGACGGGGCCAGCTCCAGCTCGGACCGAGCCTCGGAGAGGCCCTCGGGCCGGGCTGGGCTCAGGAGAGAGGTGAGGCGGGCCGCCATCAACTCATACGCTCTTTAAGTTGAGTTTGTTTCGTGTTCAAACTGATTGTCCTCTTCGGTTCGCAGGTGATGCCGGAGGAGCACGAGAGGAAAAAGAGGAGGAGGGAGAGAAACAAAATCGCAGCTGCGAAGTGCCGCAACAAGAAGAAGGAGAAGACGGAGTCCCTGCAGATGGTGAATAAACCCGTCAACCCAAACCTTCAGATCAAAACCACGTTTAACACGACAAACGTGCAATCACTCCATCAATCGGCAACAGATCTTAAAATCAGTGTCATATTTTTAAAGTTCAGACTGCTCGCAGCCTTTTTCATCAACGCTTTAAACAAACCCCTGATCCGCCTGTTAGCCCTCAGGCTCTGAGCTGGAGGAGACTCTCAGCTACTGCCTTACCAAGTTTTAGCTCAGTCGAAACTGACAAAGTGAAGTCAGGTCCTCTGGACGGATTCAACTTTGTCGAAATGTTTCGTCTTTTATCCAGAGGACTTATTCAGTCTGAGGTGCTGTAACAAACTCAGTCTCATAAACATCTCCTTCTCATAGTGGATCAACCAGTTTGATGTTGACATCCAGAACCAGCTGTTCACATGATGAAGGACCATCAGATGGATCGTTAGTGCCCTGATGGCTGTTTACTATTCACAGGAGGCTGAGTGATACTAGCAATAACAGCATTGTAAGAGGGGACAGTTGGACACGGAGGCTCCGCCCCCATTTAATGATGGACAGGTTATTTTCTCAAAGAATCCATCCACAGGACCAGACTTAATTTTGTTAGATTTTTTAAAAAAGTCTGGATTATTGAGAATTCATCAGAATATGACTGAGCTTTAGCAGCTTAACGTTTTGGACCAAATGTCTTGCAGCGCTGACCTTTGACCCGCTGTGCTGTCTCGTCCGCAGGAGTCTGAGAAGCTGGAGAGCGTTAACGCGGAGCTGAAGGCTCAGATCGAGGAGCTGAAGCAGCAGAAGCAGCAGCTGGTGTACATGCTGAACCTGCACCGGCCCACCTGCATCGTCCGCGCCCAGAACGGTCAAACGCCCGAGGACGAGCGCAGGCTTTTCATCCAGCACATCAAGGAGAGCTCCTTCCAGCTCCACACCCTCGCCTCCTCCTCATCTACCTCCACGGTCGCACCCCTGGACGGAGGACTTCTCACCCTCGACGACCTTCACTGTCCCAGTCAGCTCTGATGATCGACTTCACTCCCACTTTGTCCGCCTGCGGCCCGACGGAGCCGAGACGCCCCGCGGGACTCGGACCTCGTCTACGTCCACAAAGCTGCTAAGACTTTGGTACAAAGTGTCGTCCTGGGAACTGCACTCGTCTTGTGTGTTCAATGTGAAACTGTCAGTCTGCGCCAAGAACCGGCGCCGAAGCACTGAACCCAAACAAACTTTACTTTAACGTCCGCCGGTGTTTTGAGTCATTTACCGTCTGACGAAACGCAACAAAGTGTTTTATTTCTCAGACGCAGGTTGTGTGTGTGAGCGTGTGACGAATGAGTTTTAGCTGCGTTCACTGTTAAAACGGCAAATGTTTGTTAGTGTCTGAAAATTATTTATATTTATTAAAGACTACAGTTGTTGCTGCAACGACGTGTGCTCGTGTAGGACTAATGCCGCTGCTGCTAACCGCTCAGGACCTACGCAGGCTGTAGATTTTGGGTTTTATCCTCGAGGTATTTGCTGCTGATCAAACGGTCTGAAGTGAGGTTTGTACGCTCAGGCGGGATCAACTTTCTGCCCTCCTGTAAACTATAATCATGTATGCAGACGACTAACAGCCAGCACAGTTATCTGTTATTAGTTCATGTAGGCCTGTTTATTTGTCTAAAGTTTTACAGCTTCTGTAAAGTTGACCCGAGTGTTAATTTACAAAAGTTTTCCGTCTGTGATGCAGCGCTCTGCATTAAACGCATTTAGAGCGTTCTCTGTCGTGACGCAACAAACGAACGTCTCCTCTTTCTAAGAACATATTGAGCTCGTGAGGCAGCGAAAGCAGAACTCGGTTCAAAGTTTGTACGACACGTCTTCTTGCAAGGTTCGTGGTTTCTGACCTTTGAGGTTCTGGTCAAAGGAGCTGAAGAAACTGGGACAGACTAAAAACTGAGTTTGTTGATTTTCAAGGTTTAAGCTTTGAGTAAACTCATTTCTCAAAGGGGAAAGTGACCTGAAGTTGTTTTAGGCTCAGCAGGGTGCATCAGGATGAGGACTGACGGTGTGTGTGTGTGTGTGTGTGTGTCAGCGACACCTGGTGTGCTCGTGTTGTGTTTGACCGTCCTGATGCCAGTCATCGCTCCACGGCCTCACAGTTCAACTGTAATTTATTGTGCCTGAACGTTTGACCTGAAGTTGTTTTCTGTAGCTGCTCTGTCGGAGCACAAGCCTGAATAATGTGTAGGATGTCGGGTACAACTGCACTGATACGACCACTGTGTTCCTCCTCCACTGTCGTCTTTTTGTTTTTGATACTTTTTTAATTAAATTATGTATTGTACTGAAATGGCTCTGATTGTGTTTTACCGCCTGTTAATGGTAAATCCAACTAATAGATCTCAAACACACAAACTGCATGAGGTTCTCATTTCTTTTGTGAATTGCACGCAGGGCTTAATTTGAGCCGGGAACTCTTATTTTGACAGAGTGCGTTCTGTTAACTCTCAGGCTTACTAATAAAGTTATGAACTAATTTGACTGCCTTAAACGAATAAAACCTACATTAGATGTAATCTGAAAATAATTACATAAACACTAATTTTAAACACAACAGCCACTTACGAGCTTCGTAAATCACAAACGCTGCCACTTCTAGTAAGCATTTCCATTTCTACCCTTAATAAAAACTCTGCCCCTAAAAGTCCAAAGTCATCATGCAGTTTTATTTAAAAAAACCTAAAAAATATAATTAAATACCACAACTAAATTGCAAATCAGTTCAACAGTTTAAGTGGGTCATTAATAAAATGTTGATTATTAAAAATACAACAAATTAAATGTCTGATGTGCATTATTCACTTTACGTATAAAAACAATGTCGCTAATTTGTCAAAATAACTGATCAAATTTTTAAAAAGTCCAATTAAAAAAATGGCTTTGAGCAGGAGCGAGCGAGCGGTGTGGGAGAGCGCCGAGCTAACTGCAGGAGCCCACAGGCAGCCGCCAGGAACAGACGGAGGAGGCGCCTGGAGGTTTCACGTGTGGACAACGTCGAGCAGAACCGTGACTTCAGCGGAGAAGTCGGGCTCAGAACCGTCAAGTAAAGGGGAGGACGGGGGATGGATGTTTGACAGAAGTGGAGCATTTGTAAATGTAGCTGTTTAAAAATACACCGAAATGCAGGAAGTCACATCTACTTTATTCAAAATTTTCTGGAGGAGGATCCCCAGGACCCCTTGCCAGCCTTTATGTTCCAGCATCTATCAGTCTACAAATTAAGCCCTGGTTGCAGAGATGTGTTGGACGTTTGCAGCAGAGTTGCTGCAGCTCCAGAGCCTTTAAATCCCTCTGTTCAGTTCCTCGAGTCAAAAAGTGTGAAAAATGTTGGACCTCTGGTCGAGTCTTTTTTGGTTTTGGACATTTGTTGTGATGCGTAACCATGGCAACAAGGCAGTTTTTCTACAACCAACAGCAGCTGATTAACATCTCAAAAGCTCAAATATCTCAACTACAGCCCCAAATCTCAAATGAGTTGAAAGGATGTTCTGTGGATGCATTCTCATCTACCTGCCAGCTGTGCTCGAGTGCCTGATCACTGAGATCCTGGAATTGGCGGGAGGCACGGCTCGTGGCAGCGGAAGGACAGGGTCGACCCTGTGCACCTACAGTTGTCTGTCCGCAGTGACGGGGAGCTCGGCAGACTGCTGGGAGGAGTGGCCATCGCTCTGGGAGGAGTTCTGCACAGCATTCGGGCCTGGGGGAACCAAGAGGCCAACCGAGTCTGGGTGGACGGATCGGACGGCATCTGCAGCCAGCTTTTTAGGATCCACTGTGGGATGGACCTTTACAAGAGATCCTTCCTGCCTACAGCCTCCGTATCTATAACATCTCTTAATGGAATGAGGATAACGAGTTACAACAACAAATAATTTCCCTCTGGGATCAATAAAGTATTTTTGAATTTGAATTTGTCTCGGAGCGGCTGCGTTAAATGTTGCAGTTTCTCTGAACTCTGAGCAGCGGGGACACAATTTCTGTCTGGTTGTTAAAAATTAGCTTTTTTTTGTGCACGGCTCACAAAACTGTTGACCGTTGTTGCCCACCTCGACTGCCTCTGCCCACGTTCATGATTTAATCTGTTGAGCTACACCCAAGAAATGAAGGTGCAGAGATTTGAACCCCCTCCCACCCACTAATTATTCTTATTCAACACTGGTGTGGTTGTAATTTACACGTTTTCATGTAGATCTGCAACAAAAAACACAAACTGTGAAACAAAAATCACGTGCAATGAACACGATTTGATCGTGATCCTGTGGATTTTCACATTTGTAATTTTATGTTTAAACTTTATAAATAAGTGCAACAAATCAGTTGAGCTAAACTGCAGCTGTTAACAGCATTTATGTTGCAAGAAGATATAAAGAAAGACAAACAACTTAGAGATGAAATGATGTTAAGCAAAGGCGTCGTGGTGTTTCTTCCAGGAGCAGAAGGTTTTACAGCACGTGAAGTTTTACACCACGAACACGTCTGGACATGTGTGCAGCTTATCAGCCTCGCCTGTCTGCAGCTCCACAGTTATCTGAGTTATCTGATCGATGACGGAGACGTTCAGAACAAAGGCCCGAGCGGAGCCACAACGGGCCTTTCTGCTCCTCTAATCATTTATAGTAAAAAGCACAGGAAGATCAGAAGCTTCACTTCAGTGGAAGCTCAGATCAATCTTTGATGGACCTGGTGACGAACTGTTGGTAAATTAGGAGAAGGTTTCCAACAGGACTGCCCTGAAACTCCAACAGGCACAAACTGATTCCACTCGACACAGAAAGCCTCCAACAAGCTCTGCTGAGAGTCGGTTAATTGCATAATTGGCTCGGAGCTGAACCCGCCCAGCTCAGCACAAACACAGAGGAGGAGGAGGAGGAGGAAGGCCTGTCTCTGCTTGAAATGGTCTTGCCTCGGCTCCACCTGTCAGCTGAGGACATGAAAGAACACAAACAGCACGGTTTGTTGGCTGGATCTGGAGCCACGACGCGTTTGTGTTCACGTTGGGTTTCTGTGACGTTAAACATCACGGCCCAGAAACAGTTTCCACTTGGTCCAGCTGCGGTCAGTTAAAGACGCCTCTGAGCACAAACAGCTGATTGATTTTATTCAGGGCAAAGTTTCAGGCGGCCTCGACGTTGTTTCATCCACAGCTGGAGCTGACAAGAGTTTACAAAACCCTGACGGGGCACTGGAGGAACAAAATAAGCACAAGAATCTGTTTCCCTCCGTGAAACATCTCCTCTTTGATTAACAACAGCCTGAACATCCAGGACCTGAGGAGAGCAGCTGCAGGAGGTCTTATGTTGTCCCTTTCTGGTCTGATGGAGGCAGTCTCTGATGAATCATCTTCATGATGTGTCACATGGTTTTAACTGGTGGAAGGTCTGGACTTTAGTCCGCCTCATCAACATCTGGACTCTTCTGCCACGCAGCCATGCTGTCGTAATGGATGCAGTTTAGTTTTGTCTTGCTGAAATATGCAAGACCTTCCCTGATACAGACGTCATCTGGATGGGACATTGTATTCTAATACCTGTGTATACTTTATTGCATTGATGGAGGTCTTTCCAGATGTTTACACTGCTCATGCCAGAGGCACTAATGCACCCCCATACCAATAGAGAGGCAGGCTTTTAAACTGTGCTGATTACAGACTACATGTCCTGATGCATGCTCAATAATCCTGCAGACGACATGGTTCCTCTACTCTTTAGTCTGGAGGATGTGGCATCAGGAATTTCCAAAAAGAATTTCAATTTTGGATCTGTCTGACCCCAGTACAATTCTGGACTTCACCTCAGTCCAGCTGAAACGAGTTCTGGTCCAGAGAAGACGCAGAGGTTCTGGATGGTGTTCACATCTGGCTTCTTCTTCGTCTGATAGAGCTTTAAGCAGCATGTGTGGATGGACTGTGTTTACAGACGACGATCTGTGGAAGAGTTCCTGAGCCCAGAACAGAACCAGACCTGGTTTTGATGCAGTGG